CAACAAACTGATTATTTTCTGACAAAATTTTAATTACTACCGTATTAGCTTTTTCATTTATTTTGTACTTCATAATACAAATTATAAAAGCCAAATTTATTGTTTAGTATGTAGTAATAATTTAATTTATATTTTTTAATATCTATAGTAGTATAATATTTAACATAAAGTATTTTCTAATTGCATCACATTAGATGTATTGTGATGTAAAATAAGATCCGAATGAAATTAAAATAATTTAAAATTTTATGAAAAGTTTTTCTTTTCAACTAATAACTGTTTATTACATTATTTTGACCAAATGATCATATATATTCTTGTATCTTTTTTACAAGCACACAATTCCGTTATTTAAAATAATTATTCTTTCTAGGTAACGCATTTTAAATAATGTAGAGAGATTAAAATGTTACATTAAAGAACATACATATCAATTCTTCTTCAATATTAATGATCCAGTAGGAATGAAAGAGACACACTCACTTTTCATTCCACAAAGTGCAAATTTTTTATTATTGCCGAGAGTTATTCTGCAAAAGCTCGATATAAAATCCAGATAATCACTATATCAACTCGAACGTTCCAATGTCGAAATCCCCCGACATTTTTATATGATACATCCGCATTCGCGGGTTTCTGCGTTGTAAACTATACTTAAGGAGTTATGAACCGGACGGCAGACTGGTTTTCTCCGAAGGATGCTTTTCAGCGTCGTCACGGCGAGCTGGCAAGTATACGAAGTGCAGGTAGGACCGAGGGAACTCGGTTTATTTTTTATTTTAATCACGACCTTGCCAGCGCAGCAAGGATCTCCGCGTTTGTTGACCTGTACCGTGCATCCTTCACCCCTGTTCTGTTGTGCTCGTACCCCATCTTGCTCATCCACGTCGATGTAGCCAATGGTCCCGGGAGGTAAACATCCTACCAAGAACGGATGGAACCACTTCTTCAATGCTGAAGTCGTTTTATTTTGATGAGACTTGCGAAACTTAACTACGCTACAATTTTCTGGAATCTTATTCGCACCGTCGAGTAATCATTTTTGAAAAATAAGTTCTTTGTTTCTTTCCAAAGGTGCAGTTCTATGTTGTAATTTTCACATTAATATTGCTCTTGTCGGCTATATTCTAAGTTGATAAAAACCACTTTCAAACTGAAGAAAATTCTTTGCGCATTTGCAAGAAATAATAGATAAATATTATACGAAAACAAACCAAATATTTTGACTTTTTCGTACATTTCTACGCGCATTGATGCGTATCGAAGTGTACTTTAATTTTATTTTCTACAACATTACTATCTATTTATATCAATCGAAGAGTAAATGCTACGAAGAAAGCTGGCTGCTAATCCAAATTTAATGATCGAGGATTCAAACTAATTACACGCACATTGAATTTTATATCCAACACCACGGATGTTCTACCGTTTTCCATCTATATAATGATTATGATTTATGACCTACAGTTTAATGTAAACAACTATGGGGTCGGAGACCTGAAGCACGATCAGGCACTTTTCTAATAAGCGTCGATTTGCTTTTATTAACATATACCTACTAACGGCATTAAGTAATTCTCTTCTCCTAGAGTAGTAGTAGCGGCACTATGTCGTCAGACACATGGCGTATGTTTCGCTTCGAGCGATAAATTTTACACCAACGCGTGAATTAAGTGTCATCTTACAAATTTGTGTGACCCGTTAAAACCCGTGAAAGTAAATGTAAATCACCTTTACAGCTGTGAACGCGCTTTCGAAATTTTTGTGGCGCCTGGCGCCACACATTTTTCATGAAAATCTTAAATCGAAATGTATAACACGTGAAAGTATACACCACACATAAATAAAAACAAATACTTCTTAAATAGCAAATGCTTTTTAATTATTGCAAACAACGATGGGTTTTAATTTGTTTAATTATTCGCATTATTTCTCATTTTACTTTAAACGTTTATGCAAAAATCCACTAATATCTCTTCGATATACTTACAGTCTTCACTGCTAGTAACGCATCATGGCACTCGAATGAGTCATTCGATGAATTATCGGCCATTACTTTAATAGCGGCCTGCGAATTCTCGAGCTCATTACTGTACGATTCTATGCAACTGTGTGTCACATCGGTATGAAGGTCACAAGATGAATGAGGCGAACTGATCGCGTATCAAACCGATCGATCATTCAAAAATCAAATTTCAGTTCAAACATTCTGTGATGTTTACCAGTATTCGTTAAAAGTGTCGTATACATTACAAAATATATTTTCTGATTAAAAATCCAATACGGTAAAACATCTGACCGGTTTTATTTTATATTTGTTTATTAGATATTATATTTATATAAATCTTATTTTGTATTGGAGGCGATAATTATTTATTCTATTTTATAGAAATTAGAACTACAGGCCAAAAATATTAAGTATTTTTTTTATTTATCTCGAATTCTTTTACCTGGATTGTTACTTTTTGGTTACCGGCATTATCTGTAAGTTTAAAGCGTTTTTAAAACAAAGGATAATTTATAATAAACGCTATAAATTAGTTTTTAAGCTAAAACTTTAAATAGTAATTGATAAGATGCCTAATATTTTTGGTCAAAGCTCTATATTGCTTTTGCAGATTTATATACATATATTAAAGAATACGATGTAATATATGAGTATACATAAAAAGAAAGAACGGGGTAATGTGCGATCCTTAAAACAGTGTAACAAAGAAACGATGCTGAAACATGCGTGCTAAGCATGCACGAGCATACATACGTGCTATGCATATGAGCGTCCATCTCACCGAAGAGATGAATAGGAGGATAAAATCTAACGTAAATAAAAAAAAATTTTAATGTAGTATGTGTTTAAGGTGTATAAATCACGGAAAGCGCTAAATTAAATGCCTGGTTGTCTCTATGTCAGTTTTTGCTATTAAGGTGTGTATCTGATCCAACTACGCCTGCTGAATAAAAGAGCGTGCATGTACCGTCATTAGTAATCTACACGTTTCCACTGGAGAGTCTTTCATCTCCAGACAGTTTCTTCGATCAATGACTTGTCGGAGTGACGCCGCAAGTTATTTCGATAACTGCTCGCAGTAAGGCTGCCTCATTTTTTTCGGGCATTGTCCCAGCTTAGACGGATATACGTTCGTGCGAACGACCCTTTCTACTCTAACGATCTTCGAAAAAAATTACAATGTTCCCGTTACTCGATCCGGGTACCAATTGAGCTAGTATAGTTAATCTTTGCGGTGACTTTGCCGCGACTTCGCCATGACTTTTAAAATAGTTTTTGTTTCAACTACGGTCACTTCCAGACTAAAGTCCAATCTACTGTTTGATCGTGGATCTATTACAATTCATTGTACAATGACAAGAAAATGTGATCATTGAAATAAGAAAATTTTTATTATTGTGTGAACACTTTTTTAGTTTTTATTGATTTTGAAAAATAAATCAGACGCTTTTTAAATTCTGTTCTATGAATTAATTTTATATTTCAATGAATGAAACTTTTTCTATATTTAATATGATTCTTTAAATAATTATTTTATGCTTAGATATATTTATAAAAAATTATTCAAGTTATAGATAAGGGAACAATATTGTTTAAGGGAAAATATAATATTTATCAGAAAATATACAAATAAATTTAATTTAATAATAAATAAAGTATAATTCATCAATACTAAAAATAGTAGATGCAAGAACTTAGTATTGCTGTACTCAAATGTCTTAGTTATCTCAAGTTATATATATCTCTCTCTCTCTCTCTGAGCTGTACTAATGTTTAAATAATTATAAACAGACATATACAAATAAATTTGTTTCACTGACTTTCACTAGGAAGATGTCAAATGGCAATTCATGAACGTTGCTTTGAGATTTAGTGCGGAAGAAAGAGAAAGAGAAGTTGGACGTATCATGTTCATATATATCGTATAATCTTGGTTTAGATAATTTCTACATCTCGACCTTTTTAACGCAAATCTGCACATGAAAGTTAATACGTTATATTAGCTTTTTTTTACCTAGCTAGTATTAATAAAAGTGATTTATTGGATTAATCAAACGCTTATTTTTTTACAATTTCTCATTACGTGTCCAATATTTGCGATAAACTCATATCACTAGTTATGAATGATACATAATTGTTGTTTAATCAGATAACAAATATTTGATCCTTTTTGTCCAGTTCTTATTAATTGCATATAACAATGTCATCTACTAAAGACATTGAGCGTCTTCTTTTATGGGAATTTGCTTTTTTCGATTATTATTAAATTTACTATTTATATCTAATAAATATATGGCTATATTATATAATGACATTTTTTTTACGCTTCAATTTATATAGAATTAGAGCAATAAAATTTAATCATGGTATATAAAATAAAACTGATTTATGAGAACGTAATATACGATTTATAAAAATGTAAAACAATGTTTTACTCAGAAAGTTTATTTGCGGCAACGTTTAGCAAAACTTTAGGATATTGTCTGTATATGTTTTGCTAATCAGGAAATAAGATAGAATTCTTATCTAACTGGCGATTTCACTTTAGTTTCGAGGAAACATAGACAATGGACATGTTTTGCGTTAGTAGTTTATGTACAGCTTCACGTACGCATCCACAAGTCTACCACATAGCTCAAATAAACATATGACTATTCTATGTACATAGAATTACGCACGCGAAAGTCAGCGAAAAATGCTGATTGCTTGATAATTCACTGCCGATTAACGAACCGTGCTGATGGATTTGTTAATTAATGCGGGATCGCAGAGCATTGCGAGACTCACGTTAGCTGACTTACTGCCCTGTGATATTGATCGTGATTTACAATATACAAGCACCTGTATATCTAGTCGAGAAAATTTTTCAAGCATCTCGCACGGGGAAAGTTCTGTGTAATTACACAGTTCGTTGGGACGTCCGGAAATGTTTTTTACTTAAGTTGAGCAAGCAAAAAAAACATCTCGTGCTTAATCTCGTTGATTTTCTTAGGTCTGATGATGGAATCGGAGAAAAAAATCTTTGAGATGATGAACAAGAAGGCGGCCATGTCTAAATATTGGATGCCGTTGGTCTGGGCGACTAATATCATCAACAGGGCAAGAAAAGAAGCTCTGATTACTAGCGATCATGTAGTACAAACCCTCCTTGTCGAACTCAGCGATATCCGGAAGAGGCTTGGTGCATTGATTGGTTACGATACTGTCTGTGTTCCTCTAGTCTACACTCAGGTGAGTATTCTCATCTGAAATCGATAAACTTTATAATTAAAAGCGAAAATAGTTTTGTGGCTCCAAGAATAAATCAAATATAAGTAAATTGCTTCTGCGATGCATAAATAATATATATTTATAAGGCGATAATATATAATTTGCAAGCAATTAGTAAGTACTTATCAATGAAGTTAACATCAAACGTTTTGACTCTGGACTTAATTCCTCTTCGGTGCTGAACCATTCAAGTGCAAAACCACTAGTACTTTGTATACTGTAGTTTGTACTTGACTTTCGCACTGAAAAGGAGTTAAATTCAGAAACGTTTGTAATTAACTTCAATGATAAGTACATTCTAATTTGCAAATTATACCTTATAAATATATTATTTACGCATTAACAATACAGCGGAGACTTATTTAGATAATTTAAAAATAACGAAATTCTAATAATCAGTTTTATGCATTCTATAATATGTCTTTTACGTGTAAAAGATAGGAAAAATAACATTACTTTTGTAAGCTTTTCTGCTCATTTTTTTTCATATTAACGCCATGGAAAAATTATCTATCAATAGTATCATTGGCAGATGGTAAAAAATGTTATTGTTTAATCGAAATAATTGTGATTTGGTAATTAAAATTATTTGCAAAACAATTTTTTAGCTTTTACACATTTTAGTTTTTACTAATTCAAACTATTAATAACAGTGCACGCCGAACTATCGATGTTAATTACACAGCAATTATTAATCCTTTTCTTTATTTTTTTGCGTCACATAAACCTTCTAAACAGTTCTTTTTATCTAGAATTCAGGAGAATACATTTAAGGATGTTGAAGCAGTGAAATGAATCTCTTCTCGAAAGATGTATTTCGTATTTACAATTAGCAAACATGTATGCGTTGTGCAATTGTAATTGTTCATCAACTAATTTTCTTAATTAACTGGTGCAAAAGCTATTTTCAAGGAATTAAAGACCGCATTATTTCGCAAATCTGGCGAACGTGATGCGACGAGAAACTCCGTTCAAATCTTTGTTTTATGAAACGTTTTGTATTACCATCAAATTTCTAAATACTTTCCTTTATTCATTTTTTTATCATTATTAATAATTATACTCATTAATATGTCTAAATATATAAATAGTAGGTATTCAAATACATTTATTGTTAATCATGTACAATAGAATAAATAAAGATACATTTTTATTTATTCTATTATATTTTTAAAAAATGACAATTAACACTTAATATTTAAAATTATTTACGTTTGTTATTAATTTGAAAAAATCCAGCAAAGCAATGATGTATTATAGTGTTTTTCTTACGTATAAATTACAATATAAATCTCTTTCAAGACGATAGCGCGATTCGACATACTCCGTGAAATCGCAAGAAGATTACGCGTAACGACCGCAGAGTATTCACCGCGTAATGATACATCCGTCGAAGATTAATACCCGTTTTGGATGCTCGCTGTTATTGCATTCGCTTGCGTTTACTCTGCAAACGTTTTTACTTATCCTTGTAACAAACGATTTTAAGACGTTGTGCCTTACGATATGCCATGTATCATGTATGAAAATAAATCATTTTAATCTAAACTTGACATAGAATATATTCTCATTTTCTACATGGAATAAATAAATATATATTTCTTGTATTTGGATATTTAAAAAAGAGTTGAATCATTGCAGGATGAATTTTAAAATATCTTATTTAATACAACTGAGACTTGACTCATTAAAATTTTTGCGACTATGTAATTACAGCACATCTTATTTTAATATAAGATATTAACACTTGTGCTTACAAGAAAGCATAGTTATTACAATTTATGTACGTACTGCAGTGTATATTACAATAAGTTTAATTAAAAGGAATATTCCTTTGGGCGTTTTAAAAAACTTTAACCAATGCAGCGCGGATAATAAAACGTGCATGAAACACGAAGCCGATACATGTTGCATGGTCAAGGTCGACAAGAGAGTTGAACAATAATTTTTCTACGTCATGCCTACGAGAATGATTTTACGTTATATTCAGGAGGAATCTTTTGGATTTGGCGATTCCGAAATGTTCAAAGTCCACATGAAATTATCTGTTGTCTTTCTTATGCACAAGTCATACTGTATTTTTGCATAAATTGCTGTTTCCTGATAACCTTCAATAAGAAAGGCGGCGCTTGCGACGACCTTGATATTCATTCATTAAACCTGTTTGCTTGTACTTACATGACACAGAAAAAGCGACAAAACGAAGTCGACTAACAAAGTTCGAGACTTCCGGTGGAAATAATTTTCTATCGACCTTGTTTTACGTTTAAAGCAACTGTTCTTTAAAAGAAATATAACACACGCGGTAATCTTTCCTATCGTAATGAATGCGAACTTCTTCGTAAAAGTTTTTACTCGCTCTACCTATGTTTTTTTTTATATTATGATAATATAACGACATAGTATAATAAGAACTTTGTCACAAAGCTTTCAATGTATTTTTAGGTGGTAACATTATCGCTGTACGCCTACTTTTTCTCGGCTTTACTTGGCAGACAATTCGTCGAACATTCCAATGGCACCGGAAAATATGAAGAACCGGACATGTATTTCCCGTTTTTCACAGCGCTACAGGTGATTAAAATGGACGATACTATCTTCAATTACTGACTAGAATGTTGCGTAGGAGTCTTCCTGCATAATCTTTCAGACTTTTTATAAAACCGACGTATATGTTCTTTGCAGTTTTGTTTTTACATTGGATGGTTGAAAGTTGCAGAGGTGTTGATTAATCCTTTCGGCGAAGATGATGACGACATCGAACTGAACTGGTTGATAGATAGACATATCAAGGTACGTAAAAGCAAAAAAGGCGATTATAAAAAATGATAGTTTTAAGAAATCCACAATCCATTATTAGTTATGAATATTTCTTACATATATAGGAAAGTAGATAGATATTACAGCATAATATTTGTGCATGGAAATATGTTCTTTACTGTATACTTCAAATTTTTTCTTTAACCGAATGTTAATATATTTTTTCTCATTATATCACTGCACGTATAACAGGCAGGTTACATGATCGTTGATGAGATGCACGAGGAACATCCGGAGCTCCTGAAAGATCAATATTGGGACGAAGTTGTACCCAAGGACTTGCCATACACAGTCGCTAGTGAGCATTTTATGCAAACGTTATGCTGGGCACACAGATTCATAGTCACGGTCAGCATCGTAAATCTCATCAGGATGATGTGTACGCCGATTATGTAAGTGAATTGCTTACAGTAACAATAACGAAATAATTTTATAACATAAACTTTAACTTGCGTTCTTTTATACAATTATATATTTACCGATAAGACGTCTACGAACAATTATGCAGGGTCTCAATCTTTGTTTTGTCGATTCATATAAATTTATTTTCTGCCACAATTTTGCGACACCTTTGATAATAAATCTCGTGCGTTCATTAGGAGAGCGTGGATACTCCATTAGTGGAACGAAAGAAGAACGGCTGGTTCCAAAGGCAGATCACCCGAGTTGGTTCGGTACGTAGTTCCTCAACTACGTATAGCAGCGGCGGTGGTTTCTTCACACGAAACCGTCACAATAGCGTGTACAGCAGTCCTGAGACTGGTGGTCTGCCGCAAACGAACAATCCTAATCTCAAAATGTCGCTCTACGATCGTCTCGTCGGACGAAAGAGCGTTCGAAGCCAGCGTATGGGTCGTCAAGGTGCGTAGAAGCTTTTATGTTAACGATTGTACGTTAATCTTAATTTTCTTTATTTCAGATATTTTTTTCTTTATTTCAGATTTATTTATGTATTCGATAAAACTTATACGAACAACGTTAATAACAATGTCTTATTAATTATATCTATTTTTTAATTATATTTGTTTTTATTTTAAAGTACATTACAATTACCATAATCATCGAATAAAGCAAAATACATCTTTGAGAGTAGCAACATTTTCTTTTCTTACACAAAATTATTTCAAGATGAATTAAATGTCCATAGCTTTTATTTATTCTATATTTTTATTTTCACGATGTTCTTTGTCTCAGTAATGTGCTTTCGAAGAAAACCTGGGCGGTTACTAATCGAAAGATTTTTTTCCTCTGAGTCATGAATTCATCTTAAAAGAAAGTCTCGAAGAATCGCAAGCTTTTCCTTTATTGCTTCCACGTATGAGGAAAATTACGCAATATTCGATCTTGCGTTACCTCTGCAATTTCCGCGGTTATTTTACATCCATGAGAAAATTCTCTAAAGTCCTTGTATTTCTTTTTACCCTTTTTTTTCTTATAAAGAGAAAGATGGTATTGTGCAAAAGTATCATGTCCACGTCTCATGTCTAATTATATTCTCGTCAGTGTAACTCGATATGCTTCCTGGCGCCAAAGCAATAGTCTAAAACTCATTTTCACGCTCGCTCGACGTAGTGGTTTTCAACCGAGAAATGTTAGTCGTTAGTTTAATCGACAACGTCATTACATATTTTCTACGTACGTCCTCGGAATGATCTCGATTCCGGAACCAGTCAACCAAGCTAATATCGCTCTAACGGTCACCATAATTATTAATAATTACAGGTACTATGACGAAGCTGAACTCGGTGCCAGTATCTCTGAAGAACAGACCACGCATACCGACTCCGGATGTGACGAAGGAGGTAATCGATCGTGAACAGAGGTTGGCTTTGTCCGCCGCTAATGCGGCAAACATCGGCGCAGGTGTGGTGGGCGTGATACCAGCAAATGGTCACTATCCAACTGATTTGTCGGTAGTGGTATTGTCGCCGATACAGGAGACTGAAAGCTCACCCGCTTCAGGCAAATCAGGAGCGGCGGCCTTGGCGCAGGCCGTGCTTTCGCCGACGTTGACCAGCGCTGGCCTAATGACGCCAGTTACCTTAACACCAGTCACTATGGGCCATTTGACGCAATTAGGTTTGATGACAACGGCGACAACCACAACGCCACATCTTAATAATCAGAGTAACAGCGTCCAGGCGACATTGACGGAAGTCACGAGCAGTGAAGAGGAAGGTAGCGGAAGCGGTAGCAGCAGGAGCGGAAGTATCACTGGACAAGAGGATCGCTCGACACCATTGATCGACAATAATAACAGTCCGATGGGTAGCAACGGCAGTTCACCCATTTTCGATGGCTACAACGATCGTTCGCCAATCTTGATGAGACCCGAGAAACTGGGCTATGTAGTCACCGCTGCTGTGCCCGGAATTCAAACTAATAGGGCGATGGCGATAGATGCGCGAGGTAGACGATCGGCCTCGTTGCCTGGTCCACCAGTATCACCGGCGCAGCTAAGTAACGACAGAAGCATGTCGTTGCCGCAATCTCCAGGATTGCAATCGAGAGAAATTCGCATAGCCTCCGTGTCGAGTAGACAAGACGGTCTTGCCATAGACAGGCTGATCACTGGATCCCACAATCAAGGCATTCGATCGAGGACCAACAGTTTCGGTCATGATCTCTCTAGGTCCAATCAAAGGGGTCAAGATGCCTCAAGAAAAATTAGTACCGTCTCGTGTACAAATGCGTCGCTTTCAAGTAGCACGACATCCCCGACGTCATCTACGAGCATATCTACCACGACCGTTACTAGTAGCAAGAGAGGTGAAGTTTACGTTTGATGGACGACATCGATAATACAGACTTTATTCATTCAACTAATTAGACTCAAATTAGAGAATACAGTTCTGTTGACGCATCCTGAGATTCATCTTCGTTCATTAATACATCTTATATATGTCACTTCATGTGACAGATCTATTCATTTCTTGATTGTCTAGATTTTTTATCGGTGAAATAACTAGTATCTGTGAATTTTCCTGAAGATACCTCGTGTTTTCACTTATAAATCTTTTTAAATCGTAACGCGAAGTATAGAACTATAGAAATAGTATTCTATCTTATCTTATATATATTCTCATCAAGATTTCTTGATGAAAATTCTTCTTTATAGGTCGATTGTCCTGGTAAAATATAGATTTCCGAAATGGATAACTACTTTGCCTTATACTTTTTTATTCACAATCTTTAATTTTCCAAACTTTTATAAAATCGAGGTATACATGAGATCGAATCGAGAGAATCCGCCGACTTTCACATATCACAAATTCTTCTTTAGGATTTCTGGTTAATTGTCGTAACGTATTTTCTTATCTCTAGAAATAGCATAATTATTCTTGATAAATGTAAGAGATAGTGCACTCTCTCTCTCTCTCTCTCTCTCTCTCCCTCTCTCTCGCTCTCTCTATCTCTTTTCTGTATATCTTCTATAGTCTTATTATTTATATTAATTTTGTTGTTTTATATATCTTTAAAAGTATTTTGTACTTAAAATGTAAAAAGGTATAACAAGAGAGATGTTCTCCGAACATTTTATTGTAAATTGCATTGGTCGCATTTACAAGTACGTCTTTAGCGATCAATGAAGAAGAATAGTAGGTTTCGCCATTATGTTGTAAATAGTAATTTATACATTAAAGACTTTATACATATATATATGACGATCAATCTTAGGAGAAGATATTTAAAATATATTTTATATATATTCGGAGAATATATTTAAAATATATTTTATATATGCAATTATTAAATTGTCTCTTTCTCTCTCTCTCTCTCTTTCTCTCTCTTTCTCGACTCGAGTGTAAAACGATTAATCCTCGTGAAACAAAGTCATGCGGAAAAAATCGAATAACTTATTGCCAATCGACTATTTACACTCACAACGAAGAAAAGTTTTAAGTATAATATTTAAAGCGAAATGCTTTTACAATTTAATGGGAAATATTGGAAATATTTTTGTACCGTTGTGCAATAATGTAATACTGTAAGAAGACATCGATTAATATTAAAGTGCACACTGTTGCTACACTAGTTAATTTGTAATTTTCACTCTTATAATATAACTTTGTTACGATTCGTTCGTTCGCATACGTCATGATATTGTGATACCACTTTTTTATATATATCTAATATGACGTTTTGTAAGGTTACTGTAACGCTACGACAATCGTGAATTAATAATGCCAAGAGAAATCAAATTTATTAGCCATATAATATCCATATTTTTTTATACAGCTAATTTTTCGAAGTGTTCTCTTTCCTCTTATCATTTTATTAAAATTTTCCTATAATTCGTATTATTATAGATTCTATTGGTGCAAAATATTGTTCATTCTTCACGTCGAATATCCGATAGCAGTATATAAATTGGTATTTTATTTGCCATTTATATATATATATATATCACGTAAATGATGATGAATTATTAAAATGTTTATAAAAGATTTCGTAGTGATTGCGTAACATTTCTTCCGATATTTCTCTAATATTCCATTATTTTTTATTTTAATCATTAATAATTTATAAGATTAATAAACCGATTAATTATATAAAATGTAAATGATACTGACAGTACGATTATAATGGAATATATATAGAAATATATTTTTTGAGAAATTATGAAATATTTTTAATGAAATATTAATACTATACTTAATCGATGGGGAATGGTTTAGGACAAAGCGTTTTTTATTTGTACGTCTCTCGATGATTGATGTACAAATGTGCGTTATAGCTCAAGAAGTTTAATATTAATATCAATTAGTGCCTATTTTTATTACAAATGTATTAGTGCAATCGTATCTTGCAATAGCAAAAACGTTGCAATTTCATCGAATGACGAGCCTATGTATATAACTTATACTTATTAAGTTAATATTTTGATCGAGTTATAATGAACATGCTCAATGCGCGCGTAAACCTAATCCATAAACGACAAAATGCTATATATATGCATTACAAACACAATTATACAAACAATTATCATCATCATCATCAAACATTAATATTATTTTATCGCACAATACGTATAATCATTGATCCTTAATTTTATAATACGAGAACAGTAATATTTTCAAGACTTATGATATAGTTTTTTTTGTAGTAAATTAATTATATAAATAGAATTGGCACATGTACCAAAAATATTAGTCGTAATTATAACCAACAAAGCATATATCTCTATTATAAATTAGTAATAAGTATTTACAATGTCTATAGATATTTCTACAACGTTCGGTCTTTGGTTATAATCGAAAGCAATATTTTAATTTTAATTTTTATTTTGTAAAGCGTATGTGAGAGATGGATTCTAGGAAATTAAATTGATGCATAGAACAAATGGCTCCATACATCGTATATATACATATATATTGTGTGCTCCATTACCAAGACTATTATCATACATGTAACGTTATTAAGATGAAACGTATATACATTTATATACATATATAAAATTATAGTTTATGTTACATAGTTATATTAACTATGTTTAATAACCGATTTATATTCATATATCGGTCTGTGATGAACAGAAAAGAATAGGAAAAATGTGCGAGCTCATTATTAATACTTATTTATAGCATTGTTAAATATGCCTTAATTAGTAATTGTAACCGTATAGTAGAGTGACTTTGTGCAATGACTTATTTTTAATTCCTTGCATTCGGTGACGTAATGTAAGGAAGAAGAATTCCGTTTTGTGGATATTTAAGTTTGAATATTTGTATATATAAATATTTTCCTTTCTCTTTTTCTTTCTGTCTCTTTCTTTATTTCATTTGTTACCTCTTGTAAACATCTAATTATTATCATGAACAATTGAAGCTACATAAGCGAAATTGTCTAATTGTAAGATTTCGGCGCTCAGTCACATATATAATTAGTTATATTTTAGTCATGTTTCATATTATCTCTTATTATCTATAATCTATGTTGGAATAAATACCTTGGAAAAATATTATTAACAATCGTTCATTTTTTAATTTCTTTCGTACATCTGTGATAAAATTTTTCTCAAATCTATATATAATATGACAAGCAATTCTTAATTATTAATTTTAATCTTCATAGATATATCTCTGAACAAAAAAAATGTATAATAGTCTAAAACAATAAATACATATATAGATTTGATCATTTGATGTAATGTTTAATATTACATATACATCTATTTAAGAATTAATAAAGTTTATTAAATTTCACAGTAAATTAATATCTAAAATAAAATAAATAATATATTACATAGTAAAGAATTAAAAATATTTATAAATACAATAAATACAAACTAATAAATATAGATCGAGATATATGTATATTACTGTATATGTATATGTACTGATTGACTTTATCTACAACAGGTAACTATTCATTTAATTTCCAGACATTATAAGCTTAATTGAATTTACGATAGATTGAGCATAAAGTAATATTTCAGTGTATTGTAAAATCTTTAGATAATTGCTCGATATTATTACTAGAAAAGAAAATTATGCATTCATTCTCATATATTAAGCACAAAAATACTTAAATGTGCAATAGCTCCTTCTTTCCAAAAAATACTATCTAACTTACTATAATTACTTTTTCTACATGAACATATTATTGTTGTTACAGAAATATAATATTAATCAATTTATTGTAATTAATTACTGTCTTTCAGTATTATATTAATTAATATCAAATTGGCTAGCATTAGATTTCTGTAAGGGTTTTCAGACAATATAATTATCCGAGTTTAATATAGAGAATCGTAAAATGTCGAGGAAACTTACATTTTTTTAAGATTGTATGTTTACTTCCACATATATTCATTCATTTATTTCTATGACAAAACAAGTACCAACGGTCATTATCGCGCTAATTTACTTTCAGAGTCGCGAGGATAGATGTAGTATCTACATACCTCGTCGAACGGTGTAATAATAAATCATTATGCATTTTACGGATTATCAGGTAGACCGCGGTCGCTTATGTGATGAGTGCGAAGAGTCGTCTTATCAGCAGCAGCATGCGTTTGCACTCAGCAATAGCGAGCACTCTCCGTCTTTATGGATCCACTTCTCTGACGTTGTCGACTTGTGTATTCCATTCTTCCGTTATTCTTCTCTTCGTACACGATTTATGCCTGCATTCATTGCTTCCTAAATGATCTAACCACTATACGTAACAATATGCGAATATACGTAGAATTTCATTTGTCTACAAGAGCAGCTTCGCACCGAAGGATAGTCGACGAACTGGATTCCAGATCCGGTTGGCCCTCGCCAGTGCTTCGAGCAACATTGTACAGGATTTTAATGAAGATTGACTGTTTTGATAAAGATAATGATGCAGGTAATAACAACGTCGGTATACAGGTGCGGCGCCGGAGATGCATCGATACGGATCGGTATCGCGTACAAACGTAACGGACGCGGTCAAGCCATGTCATAACGACTGAATGCTCGTAATGAAATCCTACAATCGAAAGATCGAACAGTAATGTTTAGTTAAGAGTAATAATTACACAAGTGATAGCAAGAAGTCAAGGTTACTACTTGCAACGTGATGGAAGTGAAGATATAGAGAGAATCCAGAGACAATCTATTTTAATTGACAATTGAAATTTATTAAATCATGATTGTTAACAAAGAAGACCTTTGCTTTGTTAAACGCGGCAAATTGTAAATTGATAGATCCAACATGCATAATTTATAAACTATAATATACCGATTTTTAATATTTTGTAAAATATAAGTTGATAAAGAATTGCTAATTTTATTTGGAAGAATTGCAATAAATAACGTGATATTTAAAAGATTAATTATCAATCTCGTTTTAGTTGTCTTCGACATAAAAAATAGTCTGATGAAACAATCTTTGGAAGACTCGCCATTTTCGAAGCGATGGTTTCGGTATGCCAGATTCATGTCATACCTCCGTGCGTAGGACGACGGCTGCAGTCGTT